TGGACAAGCACTAACGAATGAATGCCTTCCTTTGCCTTGGTTTGCCCTCCCAAGTGGGTGGTGCTCGTTCGTTCACCAAGAGGGGGACTAACGGGAAGATGAAGAAGAAGCAGGAGAAGAAAGAAAAAAGAAAGAAGAAGATAAAAGGCGCGATTGGCTAAGGCGGTGTGCACTAAGGGTAGGTGGTGCCTGGTGTTGGTGCTGGCGCGTTGGCGATGGATCTGGCTGATCTGACTGATTCTGGTGTTCATCCGCCAGTTTGCCGCCTTCCTGTCAACAATCTTGGGAAACCCAGAAACTAATCTGTTGCCAGGGCATACTAGACTGCTACCTACTACGAGGTATTCCACGCATATTCCACATGACAAGGACCACGGTCGTGCAGGGCTAAGCTAACCCATGGCACCTCTGCAGATAACTGTGGAGTCCGTCATGGTATGTGCTGTGTGCAAAGCAGAGAGATCCCCCATTCTCGCCAGTTTTGCCAGTCAATCAGTCCCTGCCAACCGTCTAGGTTGTGTTGTTGGTGAGGTGGGAGGAGGAGGCTTGGGAGGAGGCAGGAGATCACCCATCAGGACCCAAGAGTCCCCCGAGCCCCTCCCCGAACCCCCCTCGTCACACACACCACCAACCAACCATCTCAACACTAGACGACGCATTTTTGACATCTGAGAGGGGTTCGAGGGGCTGAAGGAGGGGCAAAGGGGCAGTCAAGCCGATCAAGTGTCAGCGCGCGGCGTCAAAAGCAAGGCACCAGACGAGTGCCATTTGCCGGTTCCTCGAAGGGGAAAAAAAAAATAACCAACCAACTGCACTCCACAATTATTAATGTGCTTATGTACTATTATTATAGCCATACACACGATAGCGTACAGTAAACTGCGCTATCTTCCATCTACACTAGTGAATATAGGGTATGTACCTTGATTTGGAGGGGGGAAAGCATCTCTTTCTCTCTGTTTTCTTCTCCCCGCCTCTCTTTGACTAACTAGACAGTCAAGTCTTATTACCAGCAGGTAGGAAGTGGTAGGTAATTTGGCAACAGATAAAAAAAAAAAAAAGCTTTCCTTGAATCTATTGCGCTTCTATCAAGGCGACTGACTGACTTTCCTTGAGAGGAGTTTTAAGGACTAAGCCGGGCAAAAACACATTCCAACTATCCGTACCCGTCATGGGACACTAGCGGGGTGTGCATGTTCCCAGGCAAAAGGAAGCAATGCCTTTGCGGTATTCGCACCGCCTTGTCTGTCTCGAATTTCAGCCAGCCTTCCTTCGTGAATACCGCTTGTTGCCATGTATGGCCGATCGAAACGATCCTTCTTCCTACGGCTTTCATACCCAAGTCATGGTAATCCAGGTAGTCGTTCCTCGGAGGATGCTTTTGTGAAGCAGTGCAAGTCTCGGCCGGTAGTGAGGGGCCATGAGGGGGGGGGGTAATGGATACATAGATGGATGACCAGTCCCAGCACCTTGAATCCGTCACACAACAGTGCAAAGTATTCTCATAGATACAGTACCTAGGCAAGCGTTCCTACAAGCTCACCGCAGGTATGACCTCAGGACAGTAAGCATTCGTGGTCTCTTCAGCCTCCCCGTCAAACAAACAAACAAAACAAGCGCAAGATAGCCCAGCCAGCCAGTTTGTTAGTCAGTCACAATCTCCTA